CACGCACGCACGCACATTGGGGAGCCGTTGGGGAGGTGGGCTCTCGAGCCGTTTCGGGAAGGGCTGCGGCTGCGGCTGAGCCCCCGCTCCCGGAGGCGGGGAGCGGGGCGGGCAGCGCAGTAAGCGGAATGGGACGGTTATGGGGCTGGGTCGTTCGTCGGGGCGGGCAGGCGCCCCTGCCGGTCCCTAGGCAGCCCGGGCCTGGTCACTGAGGAGAGTGCTGGGAGGCACAGGGGCTGGTGGCTTGGGGTCGTGGTCGTGGTTTTCCAGCCGCCCTTCAGCCGGCTGTAGTAACCATCTGAAGCTACAGCCCTGACCGGCTGGGTAGGGAATGCGGGGGAAAAGGAAACCAGCTGTGAGTGATTACATAGAGCTGACTAGTACAGCTGCCTTCAGCATGCTTGTACGCTGTCAGAGCTACCTTTGCGCCATTCAGAAAACAAGACCAGAGCAATTCATATGTTAAAAGATGAGATGCAGTGTGTGTTACTCCTCCTGTCAAAAGCATTTAGGATTCTGTGAATGCACCGAAAAGTAGCATTTTAAATTTCAATTTACTAAGCTCTCTTGAAGAAAGACCAGAAAAGGTTCAGTCCACTGAATCTTTCATTGTGATACCTGTAGTTTTCCCAGCCCTTTCGAGTAAAGCAGCGCGTGTGGCGTGCAGTGTCACGGCTAGCCTGGGTTCTTTCTGCACGTGGCGGTGTCCGTGCTATGTGGATGCTCCCCAGCCGTAGCAACTGGCTGCTGACAGCTTGTGCTCTGTACGGTGCATCAGTTACTTTGTGAAGTACCTGTGGAAGTGTGAGGTGTACTACGCCTGCCACGAGGCGAGCTTCTAGGGTGTCTTGGCTGCTGTGGACACAGGCGATGGGTGGCTGCCCTGGCCTACAGCCTCTCAAAGAGTTGAGGGAAGTCCCGGCTCCAGTGTAACAGGGGAGCACCAGACAGGTATACTGGTGAATTTGACACTGCTGATACATTCTCATCACCACCTCTGAGGCATACTACCTGTCTTGATTATAAACATACTTCATGGCAGGAAATAAGTTACAATGCACAGACCATCACAGATACGATGGGTTGAAATACGCAAGTTGTCAGTAATCAGTTCCTCAGCGGCATGCATTATAGATTGCAGCCTTCAGAGGCAATGAATTTGTAGGTTTTATTTGGGCATGTTTTGCATACCCATTAATAATGTACATTGTTTAATAAGATCTCAATTAGTTGTCATAAACCACGGTGTGGGAGCTTACTTTGTATATACTAGAGGTAGTATATTGTGTAAATAGTCTGAGCTGCTGGCGGTGAAGCATGCCAGAGCAGCCTTTGTCAAAATCAGACTAATTGACTGTGTTGTTCATTAACAGTGTAATGAGTATCCTCTTATTTATTCTGAAGCTCAGTGAAGTCATTCAAAGCAAGCATGTGACTGCTGTAGTCAGCAGCTACATTTGCTATTTGACCAATGAATATTCAGACCACGACCTCTCTGCTATTACTTAACCATGTTTCAGATTCTAGATTGTCTTTTAAAATGGAGTTGACATCACTATTACTGTTTGCTTGTGCAGAACATACATGTAAGATAACACATAAGTTGCTGCTTCTTAGATACAGGAGATGGCAGTATTGTGCATTTTACAACTGATGAACCATTGACACCCATGAAAGTTTTGAAAAAACACAACCAAATGTGTTTCATAATTCTTATTTCATTAAGGAATTACAACTATAACTTTTCATCCTCCTTTTAACAGAGTAAGTGCTGTAACAACAACCTTCCTTTAAACTATTTATAAGTCAAAATTGAGAAATTCAATCATTTCTTTCATTAGTATGCTACACTTCATTATGGCATTTTCCCAGTATACTTGGGGAAGGAACCATCTTAAGCTTATATATTTGAGTGGTGAAAAGGAGGATCTCTTTATAAGAAAACACAAAATACATCAGTTATTACAGATACTTGATTCTGAAAAAAGCTATCATGCCTCTTTGAAACAGGAATACAATAATTGCATTTTTCTCCATTTTGTTTATTCTCATTAATTTATACACATAACAGCAGCTTGATATTCAAGTACAGGAGCAGAATTCCATACAATTTAATGAAAATGGTGTCAGAAAGAAACAAATCTGGCCATTCCAGGCAGGAGGCAAGAGCCATTCACACATCCAAAGTAACGTAGCGTTCTGGTCAATAGTTGTTAGCCCTTACACTGAGGGCTAATACTGTACAGACCACAGGCCTTTTCAAGCATAGTTTGTTTTTGTGGAAACCTTCAAGAAGTCTGTGGAACTCACTCTTCCATGTTTCCTAAAGAAAAATACACCTGCACGGTATGGTACTATGTGAACCCCATCGGGCGAAGGTCGATACCAGGTGCACCGATTATGCTTCACAGAATAGCACAGAACAGAGAAACTTTTCTCATCCAACTTGAAGTTACATGCCATATTCCGTTATAAATCTCTGCATGTCTTGTAAGACCTATCCACGGAACTACGCACGCGCAGTAGACCAGCTCTGAGCAAGAGTACAGGTACTCTGTTTAGCACACATTTGTACCTTGTTTCCACGTGGCTCTTCTGGTTTCCATTTCTCTCGTATTTCCTACCAATGCGGACTGACATAAGCAGATAAGAAGTGTTCACTCTGTTGTATGCCCAAGCCCCATGGGGAAAAAAGAAAGATACATTTTATAGGCATACAGATTATTTAACAGTTGTCCTCATCATAATTTTTGCCATATGCTCCAGTAGAAGAGCGGTGCCTTTCCTCATGGAATCGTACGGCTTTTATTTTCCTGGCTGAAGAAAATGGACGTAGGAGAACATGTGGGAAATAGAAGTAAATCAGTAGCGTGGATTTGGTTGACTCAGAAAATACGTGTCGATGAGGAGACATTTAGGAAGCGTGGGTCTGTGATGGGAAGTGGTCAGTTTCCACTGACGCCTCAGGGCTGCAGATTGTACTATAAACTTACTAGTGAAGTGGCGACAGCAGCACCATCCTTTCCCTCCGAGCTGGAAGTTGCTGATTGTTTGTTCTCGGTGCCAGCCCCGTTGTGCGCAATCCTCGGTGCTTTCCACTGCAAAGTGCACGTTTTCAAGGCAATATATGTGAACTTTAGAGAGCGCATCCTTCCCCCACCTGCTGTCTAATGGCTACGCTACTGTCTCAAGGGGTAAACGATTTCTTACATACTGTCTACTTCTGTGAGCACTGATAAAACACTCTGTGACAACGTAAGTCACTTTTGCATCATTACAGTAATGACAGTGGTTATGGGCCTCGTTCAACACACTGTTCCCCCCAAAGTTACTGGAAAAACTCCCATTTAATGAGACTTAGGGTGGACCTGTATCAGCCAGCCTGGTCTATTGGATGACACTGACATTCGCTTAGATCCTAATCTCACCGACTTCTGAAGTCTGCAGCAGTTTGTCGTTTCCACTGCACCCAGGGTACTGCAAGGCACCGTGTACAGCAGTTCTCCAGGTACATTTCCATGAGTGACTAATGCTGACAGTAGCACATTGACTATTTCCTCATAAGAGTTGAACACAACTATTTAAGACTAAAGATTAACTTCCTCAGAGTTTAAAACTGTTAATTTGTCAAATTTGAGAACTGAGGTTAAGTTTGGCCATAGCTATAAATTAACTTATATGATAGCTATCAATTTTTTACTTTCCTGGGATTTTCCATTTCAAAGACATTGAAAGAAGCAGAAAAGTACATTGCTAATAACAT